TTGGAAGCACCAAATCTGCAATGGCTGATAGTGACGAAACCTATCGACCCCCGCAGGATATCCCCGTTAATGAAGCATCCGCTTCATCCGAAAGCTGCATCGCCAACAGACTACGACCCCGAGGAAACACTGCTCCAAAAGAGGATACAACTAAGGAACCGTCCTATTCATCATCAAGTGATGAAAGTGCTAAAGAAGAATCGGAGGAAAGAACAGATGAAGATTCGGATCCCCCTGTGTTCCGAGAAGACTATAGTGCTTTCCCTCATCTTCCTGTCCATACTATTCCACCCAAATCACCTAAGCTCAAAACCAACGCTCCTCAGAGTCAAGGCCCTGATCCGTACACGGACGTTTTCGTTGATGGAGCCTGCTGCGAAAATGGAGGATCCAGTCCAAAAGCAGGAATTGGCGTATGGTTTGGTCCAGACAATCCTTTAAACATTTCTCGACGTTATAACGGACGTCAAACGAATAACGCTTCTGAAATCGAAGCAGCCACTATGGCAGCTCGACAGGCCAAAAAGGTGGGCATCAAGAAACTAAGGATCAAAACAGATTCCCGGTACTTGGTGCAGAGCGTTGAGGAATGGATACCGAAATCGAAACAGAACGATTGGAGGACAACAGAAAACAAACCAGTGAAGAATAGGAAGCCTTATGAACGATTAATTAAGGCTATTGAACCTCTTGACGTTGTTTGGCAGCATATCCCTGGACATGAGAGCATTATCGGCAATGAGAACGCGGATCGTCTTGCTAGGGAAGGAGCTCTGAAAAACCCAGAACCGGATTCATCGCCATCATCGAAATCGGAACTTGAGAAGTTACCTCTAGAAGAAATGATCATCGAAGGTCGACGCAAAATTGATAACAGCGATGACGAATCCAGCGAATCAGATGATCAGAAAGCAGAAAAACGATCACCGTCCAACTCTAAACAACTGATCCAGAGTGTATCAGAATCTGTCAATAGATTCGATTGCTCGATTGCGAACGCTGGATTAAATCTCTCCAATCCAACAAACAACACTCTACTTTGGGATTATGAAGGCTTAGACCATAGTCCACGAAGACAATATGTTTCTGACGGTGAAGAAGATCAAGAACATCTGGACTATTTAGAAACTCTTGACCCTGCCGTTGGAACCGATGACGAACTCTCCAAAAGAGTAAAGAAATTTCTGGACGACTTCAACCGGAGTAGAGCGAAAAAATTAACTGAACCGGAAGAGTTTTTAAGTGAGCAACCTGAATTGCCCACCACGGTGGAAGGATCACAAAAGGAAACTCCTCTAACTAGTAAATCTACCAACCCAAGGAGACAAAGCACGGTTAGATTCAAGGATATCCCAGAAGTGTTTGAACATTCTATGGATGATCGATTGCTCCGGATGGAAACGGAACTATCAACTCCAGGGCCATCAACTATCCCACGTGCACAATCCACCCCGTTCACGAAATTCAAGGATGAAAGTGTCAACTCTAACCAGGAGATCACCGCGAGGAACCAGGGCATGAAACCTAGACGAATACAGGATACAGACAATGATGTAGCAAAGAAGTGCGCGCCTCTTAGCTCTTCGTTCCTAAACTTCAAGAATTCATATTTTGATCCCCCATCATCTTCTGGGACATCCAGTGAAAGTGATCGTGATTGTGATAGTGAGCCCCAGGAATTGAAACCGAACAACAGCAAGCCCCTTGGTGGTGTAACAAATCAATGGACAGAACCTTTGACGTACAGACGAGACAACTATGCCCATTTCCTTTCAGAAGATTGTAAACCGGTCGATCAAATCTCGAAACTATTAGTCGCCACAGAAAATATTGACTTACAGGATATTAGGGATAGTAGACCCGTCAAAGGACAAATTTTCATTTCCCCTAACGGTAAATACAAGGTCTTCTCGATCATTGTTAAAAGACGTCATTTTGATGAAATTTGTTGGAAAGATGTTATAATTGGACTAAAAAATTTGAGAAAAGCCTTAGCATCTAACAATCAAAATTCTTGTCGAATGGCAAATTCCGGAGACCTGCTAGGTACACTCCCTCAAAATAAAATGTCGGAACTTGTCGCAGGAATTTTCCGCGGTGGCGACGCAACCATCACCCTGTGCCACGGAAAAATCGAAGTACCTCCTGTTGAATTACGCGGTAAAATCGTTTCCGAATTTCATTCCAGTTTGATAGGTGGACACAAAGGTATAGGCAAGACCTACCGACGAATAAGGGAAATATACTATTGGCCCCGGATGCGTGACGACGTTACCCAATTTATTCGAGGATGTAAGAATTGTTTCGAAAACAAACTCGCTAGGTCCCGTACAAGAGAACGCTTTTTGACAAGGTGTCTTTAGACACCGTCGTGAAATTGCGAACCACCCCAAACGGAAATCAGCACATCCTCTCGATGCAGGATAATTTCTCTAAGTACTGTATCGCGGTCCCCATTCCGAATATAGAAGCAAAAACAATTGCCCATGCGGTAGCTACGAACTTATTCTCAGTGTTTGGAGCACCCCGTTGCATTCTAACGGATAGAGGAGCAAGTTTTGTTAGCACCTTGATGCGTAAATTGGAAAAAATCTTTGGCGTTAAACAACTTACGACATCTGGTTACCGCCCACAAACTAACGGGGCACTTGAGAGAAGTCACATCGAACTGACGGATTATATTAAACATTACGCGAAGGATTTTGACGATTGGGATCGTTTGCTTCCGTTCGCGATGTTTAATTATAATACGTCCGTTCATGAGGCAACCAATTTTACCCCATACGAACTCGTGTTTGGACATTTGGCCAAAGCACCTAGTTCGTTACCTCAAGGACCCGAACTCGAAACGTATGGATCCTATCTGAAGGACTTAATTACACAGATGAACGAACTACATAATTTAGCTGCTAAATATTTAGTTCGATCAAAACAACTGGAGGATTGCCGTATTCCTGGACGTGGGCAAGCAGACTCGATTCTTTGACGACCTAAGGAGCAGGCTGCAGCGACTAAAACAGCAGTGTAAACCTGATGAGGAATGGTGCAACGAATTAGTCGAATACTATGACTGGGAAGATAAATGGGAAATGGCATCGGAACTTTAAAAACAGTTTCGAGTCCAGATCGAAGAGTTGGAATATACTAAAAAGACCTTACCAACCAAGATGACTACGCAACTACGAGCAAGGCGTTCAGTCCCACTATTAGGATTCCTGAGGAAGATTGCAGGACCAATCGTCGGCGTTTTGACCTATAATGACGGAGAAAGATATAGTGCTGCCATCCAAGATCTCAACGAAGCCCAGGCCAATTTGTCACACCTGGTGGGAAAACAAACCCACGTAGTGAGATCACAACTCGATTCGCTGCACTCCCAGGTGCAACAACATGGATCTTTGCTGAAGGAACTACAGGAACAACTCCAAGTCCTGATTGCCGTAGGGAGTACTAAGTCGAAGGCCGAAATGGAGAAAAGAAATCTAACATATGCCATCGCCAAGACATTAAGATTGGGCCTCGATCACAACATGCAGGCCACTACCACTATGTTAGAAACAGTTCATGAAGCCAGGAAAGGATATCTACACCCCGGCCTCATAACATCAGAACAACTGGAACCAATTCTGCGAGAAGTGCAGGATAACCTCAAGGATGTTCAGTTTCCATTGACCGGAGCGAATCCAAGTCTTACTGGAAGCCTTTGACCACCATAGGCGGATGGATCTATTCCTTTGCTGCACCAGAAAAGGCGACAATAGCATGCCATTCCATGAGTCCAATCAAGATCATGCTGAGCGAAGTTGGGATCCTCAAATTGGGTCCAGGGTGTTCCCTCAAAACCAAGGACGCCATAATTCCAGCCACCACCTCACAAGCTGGTCAATCGGAATTTATTTTTGAATCAGATCTGCACTTAAACTTAACGAAACTCTCTCCAACACTACTAAAATATAATCACTTGCTCGAGAACACCAGAGTCCTAACGAAGTCTATTCTTGAAATTAACCCGAATTTATCAGCATTCGAGGTGAATTCAAAAACCCTAGATGAACTAGAGCAACAGCTTCAAGAGTTCGCCTTACAGCAACATAATCAAGAAAGACACTCGACCTTGATTTACGGATCATATGGAGGAGTTATTCTCCTATGTGCATTTCTGCTTATGTACCTGTGCCGATCACCGCTGAAAACCGGGACATATAAACTGTCTCAAACAATTTTCTCAAAGTCGAGTGATGAGAGTATCCAAACGTCACAACGAAAGAAACCGTCGATTAAAACTCCAACACCCAAGGATGTTGCTGGATTATACGAGGATATCCCTTCTACAAGTACAACCGCTGTCAACAAGGGGGTGACCATACAACAAATAACAACCTCAACTGAACCAGCAATTACCCAAAAGAAGGAGATAAAGTTTGCAACGTCCGAAGATAGACCATCAGTGAAGATCAGATGACTAACCGAAGGGTTAGGTTCCAAGCTGCGTGGAATCCAGGTGGAGGAGACTTCATTGGGAAGGAATCGCCAACCACCTTCTCGCCAGTAGTTCCGCCAAACATAACCTTGCAAGACAACAATGAAGATCTTCGACTTAAGAGGTTAGTGTTCACGATGACCTTAAGAAACGTTCAAAATCGCCACCTAAAACAGCCTGATGCCGCAGGTCTATCTATCCATTTCTTCTTACACATAATTATCCAAAGAAATTAAAAAAAAAATATTCAAACTCAATTTCAAATTTGTTTGCCTAATATAAATTCAATATTAAAGGTTTCTCATTCTACTAATATAAAATTTTGTTTTGACTTCATTATTAAATTACTAAGAAAATTCTCATTTAATATAAAAGAAAATAGTTAATGATTTATTCATTATGTAATCCAAATATTCTAATTTTAGTTATCTCAAATAATCAAATCACTTTATAAAACATATATAAACGGAGAAGAATTATTGTTGGGATATTTTAATGATAAAACATCAACTGCGTGTAAGCCTGTTTATTTCCTCAGGTACAATTGTTAAAAATTGATTGTTGTGATAAAAGTAAAATTTTAGATTTTATTTTATTTTTTTATCCAATTAATGGATTCTAACCCATAATGGGTTCTCACAAACCGTTTGTCTCTCCACCAAATGAATTCTCCTCGAACTGGGTGCCCGAGAGTCTGGTAATCGCAGTTCGAACGCACAGCTCATGCACCTCCAAACGTACGGTCGTAATTGGTGGATCACCCTCCGTGGGAGATCGTGAAAGACATCCGCCTAAAAACAATACACACAATTAATATTCTATATCACATAGTAAAATAATGACAACAACATAAGTAATTAACATTATACCCGATAGAGCCCCATCGCGTTAACTCGATTCACCTCGTCTAAAAACACCTGGGTGTGGTTGAGGCTGTCATAATCCAGTCTGTGCTGGAACAATTTCACGTGGATCATCTCGTGTAACATTGTCCCGAATAGGTCTTCCTTAGGAAGAAGTCTGTGTATCTCCCAGCTTCCCTCCCTAGGGGATTCAAGACCTTGCCGTTGGTGGGAGGCGTAGGAGGGGCTTTTACCCAGTGGGAGGCTACTTCTCGATATCTCTCGTGGGGACTGAGGGGGCGAACCCTTCAAAATGGGTCGGCCGCTACAGAAACCGAATCTTCTGTGTTTCGCTGGGCAGTGTCTCAGGGCACGGGGATTTAGAGGGATATCGAGAGAGACGGGATGTACAGAGGCTTAACCGCGGGTCCATTCCGAAGACTTCCTACTGGTGGAAGTCTGACCAAGAAGAAACCCTTCCATGGTTACGTTGGCTGTGCCATGGCGATTGAGGCGCGAGTCTCTGCCACCCAATCCGTGATGAACTCCTGTCCATGGATGAATGATACTAGGGTTAACAAATCCGTCGGGTTCTTCCGTGGGGAGGGGGTTGGACGGGGGACGACCTTCGCTGGGTACAATAAACCGTAAACCGTAAAGCTCGGGAACGGTTGTGTTACAGGAAGGGCCCGTCATCTGGACGACCCGTCCCCGGGGTGGGGCTCGAATGGAGGTATCTTGAACGAGACTCTGAGATACCAGGCGAACTTTCAGATGTAATTTAGCCTTTTCCTTAAATAGAGGCTCTTTAAGGATTGACCTTTCTTTCCTCTTTTCTCGTGGGACCATAATGGATACTACAGAAATTAATAAAAATAAAACCACACACGTGAGCGTCGAAGAGCCCTTTTGGGGGATCACGATGCTGGCGATCAAGGTGTGGACGCGACAGAGGGGACAGTGAGTCAGTCTTAAATATGGCTGCTTCCGGGATCCACTGTATGCAGATTAACTTGCATCATTGTACAGTACCGTCCGCAATTGTCAGTCCACCCATTTTTAAAGGAATGACAAAAATTTTTTAACATAAAATTCATGAAAACTAAAATTTTTTTTGGTTTATATTTTGAAAGACGATAAAATTTTGAAAAGAATAAGACCTTACAGAAGTCATTTGGCCAAAATTTGTAGAAGATATTCCTAAAAATCGTCATTTTCAATGTTTTACAAAAATTTAAATAACTTCTAAAATAATGAACGCTTTTTAATAATCTTAGGCTTATTTTAAAGGTCTTTTTCTACGGAAAAAGAATTACTTATAGGCATTAACCTGTCATTTTTAACTTGGAATAAGCATGACGTCAAAATTGGACAAAAAAATTGGAAAAATTTGAAATCAATTTTTTGTACTAAAAACTATTCTAGAACATATATAAAACATGATATGGTGTAGATTTTTCAAGAAAATTTAATAAAAATATATGTTTGAATTTCAAAAATTATTTTTCTTTTAATAATATTATTTCAAATTTTTTGAATTTTTTTGTCCAACTTTGACGTCATGCTTATTCCAAGTTGAAAATGACAGGTTAATGCCTATAAGTAATTCTTATTCTGTAGAAAATGGTCTTTAAAATAAGCCTAAGATTATTAAAAAGCGTTCATTATTTTAGAAGTTATTCAAATTTTTGTAAAACATTGAAAATGACGATTTTTAAGAATATCTTCTACAAATTTTGGCCAAATGACTTCTGTAAGGTCTTATTCTTTTCAAAATTTTATCGTCTTTCAAAATATAAACCAAAAAAAATTTTACTTTTCATGAATTCTATGTTAAAAAAATTTTGTCATTCCTTTGAAAATGGGTGGACTGACAATTTCGGACGGTACTGTAAGGGCGCTTCGGCGATTCTAGCCAAGAACTTTGCAAGGATGCAGGCAGCTATAGCCTTTGTTCAAGAACCTTGGGTTTACAAGGGTAAGATTAGAGGTCTAAGTGGCGGTGGGGTGCTAGTTAGTTCACCACAGGAACCAGTTCCAAGGGCTTGTCTGATCTATAAAGGTCTAGATGCTTTCCCTCTATTGGAATTAACTACCAGGGACTTAGTTGTTGTTAAGGCTAAGTACCTAGAAAAGAACGGAAATAAAAGGGAGGTTGTAGTAGCTTCCGCATATTTTCCGGGATCGGGGGATGACCCCGCACCACCTGCAGAGGTGGAGAAGTTGGTAGATTACTGTCAACGGCAAGGTCTCCCATTAATAATAGGTTGTGATGCCAATGCGCACCATGTCGTATGGGGCAGCACTGACATTAACGATAGAGGCAGAAGACTTTTAGATTTTCTGTTAGATACAGATTTAGATATTTTAAATCAGGGTAATGAGCCGACTTTCGTTACTGTTAACAGAAAAGAGGTGTTGGATATTACGATCTGTTCAAAGTCTTTTTGTGATGGTGTGAGGGACTGGAGGGTGTCTGATGAAGATTCCCTCTCGGACCACAGGCTTATTACGTTTAGATTGGAATCGAAGGATCGGGAACAGGAGTGGGGACGTAATCCTAGAAGTACCGACTGGGCTTCATATAGTGAAGACCTCAAGGCCTCCATGGCATGCTTCCCCACTTCCTATGGAACGATGGAGGAGTTAGAACTTGCAGCGGAATATCTGCGAGATTCTGTGAGGAGTGGTCAAGCGGTGATTAACTTCGGTAGCTCGGTCCAAGCGGGGAAATACTTTTAGGTGGGAAATAATGATAAAGTGGGAAATACTTGTAATGGGGAAAATTGCGATAAGGCAGTCTCTCCTTGCCCTTCCGCGTGTTAAAATTGTATAGTCACTTTGGTTATTTTAAATATATGTATTAAATGGTTTTTTATGTGTGCGAAAATCAAAAGATGTTGACATATGTAATTATACCTGCGAGAAACGCAACCGAGGGCAAGGAGCGATTGGCATTAGTTTTAAAAACAGCGAGCGAGTATGGATTAGAAATAAACTGGAAAAAATGTCAGCTGCTTCAGTCGTCTGTGAATTTCTTGGGGTATATTGTAGAAAATGGGTCAATTAGACCGTCAGCTGAGAAAACTCGTGCTGTGGAATTATTTCCAGAGCCAAAGAATGTAAAGTCGGTACAGAGTTTTTTGGGGTTAACGGGGTTTTTTTGAAAGTTTATTCCGGGGTTCGCTGTGTTAGCGAAACCATTATCAGATTTGACAAAAAAAGATGTAAATTTTGTATTCAGCGAAAGTCAGCGGTGCGCGTTCAAAAAGCTTAAGAATTTGTTATGTGAGAAACCGATCTTGTCTTTGTATAGTCCGTTTGCGGAGACCGAGCTACATACTGATGCGTCAGCGCTTGGATTGTGGGCAATTCTTATGTAGCGAGATAGCGAAGATAGATTGTTCCATCCTATCCATTATGCTAGTTGGAAAACTAGTAAGACGGAGGAGAAATATGACAGCTATAAGTTGGAAGTGCTTGCAGTGGTGAAGGCCTTACAAAAATTTCGCAACTACTTGATTGGAATGGAGTTTAAAATTGTAACAGATTGTCAGGCCTTTACGAGGACAATGAGTAAAAAGGACATTTCTTTACAAATTGCAGGATGGGCTCTTAAATTGGAAGATTTCCGATATACAATAGAGCATCGTGCAGGGACAAGGATGCAGCATGTAGATGCTCTAAGCCGTTATCCTTCTCCAGAGGTGTTGCTGATTGAAGAAGAAGACGAGACGGTAGCAGCGAGAATTAAAAAATGTCAAGAGCAGGATGGTGTTCTAAAGGAGTTGAAAGAGCAAATACTGAGCGGGTTGACGAAGGGATTTTCTCTCGAGGATGGCATTCTGTGTAAGGAAGTCGAACAGGAATTTATGATACTGGTGCCAGAGCAGATGCAAGACGAGATCATCTGTAAATGTCACGATGAAGGTCATTTCGCAGTAGCCAAGACTGAACAACTGGTGAGAAGAGACTATTGGTTTGCGGGGATGACTGAGAAGGTGAAATATGTAGTTCAGAATTGTTTGTCGTGTATATTGGCGGAACGAAAATATGGCAAACCCGAAGGATTTCTGAATCCATTAAATAAAGGTGATGCTCCGCTGAACACGTATCATATAGATCATTTGGGACCGTTGAATTCGACTAAGAAAAATTATAAACATATTTTAGCAGTTATCGATGGATTCAGTAAATTTGTTTGGCTGTATCCTACAAAGACAACCTGTTCAGCAGAAGTTATAAGCAAGTTGCTGCGGCAATCAGCTGTTTTCGGAAACCCGAGAAGAATAATTTCTGATCGAGGCTCAGCGTTTACGTCGTCGGAATTCAAGGAGTACTGCAAGAATGAGGGAATTGAGCATTCTACGATTGTGACAGGTGTTCCGCGGGGAAACGGTCAGGTGGAACGCTTGAACCGAACGGTGATACCAATCTTGACGAAACTTGCAGCGCCTACGCCAGGAGATTGGCATAAGTACGTGGGAAAAGCACAACAATTCGTTAATCATGTTCCTTCAAGCAGTACAGGTGTCGAACCTTTTACACTTTTGTTTGGCACCAGAATGAGAATTAAAGAGGATCCACAAATCGTCGAAATTATCGAAGAAGAGAGAGTACGACTTTTTTCGGAAAAAAGAGAGGAATTGCGAGATCACGCTAAAAAAGCAATTTCTAAAGCTCAGAAGGAAAACAAAAAACACTATGTTAAAAAACGCAAGGCAGCTAGTGTTTACAAGGAAGGAGACTTAATCGCAGTCAGACGCACGCAACAAGGACCAGGTTTGAAGTTTTGCCATAAGTTTCTGGGACCATATAAAGTATCACCAGTTCTACGGGCAGACAGATATTTGGTTAAGAAAATAGGCCAGGGCGAAGGGCCAAAAGCCACGTCTACCTCAGTGGATAACATGAAGCCGTGGGTGGGATCTAAGTGTACCACCAACACCTGAGGACAGGTGATTTGTCAGGACGGCCGAGTGTGAGGAGTGGTCAAGCGGTGATTAACTTCGGTAGCTCGGTCCAAGCGGGGAAATACTTTTAGGTGGGAAATAATGATAAAGTGGAGAAATACTTGTAATGGGGAAAATTGCGATAAGGCAGTCTCTCCTTGCCCTTCCGCGTGTTAAAATTGTATAGTCACTTTGGTTATTTTAAATATATGTATTAAATGGTTTTTTATGTGTTTTAATTATTTGCAATTCCCTTACAATTCTATTATCTGTTCCTTTGAAAGGAACTGTGTAGTTAAGAAAATGGGCTTCAATGGGGGCGGTAAATGGTGGACCCCCCGTTGGGAGGAACATAGGAAAACTGTAAGAAAGCTTTTTAATAAAGCCAAGAAACGTAGGCATCAGCGAGCATGGGATGAATATCATACCGCTCGCGACTCTTATAAGAAAGAAGTAGATAGGGCAAGGGGTGTCAGCTGGAGAAGTTTTTGCGAGGGAATCGAGAGGGTACCAGAAGCTTCAAGACTTCATAAAGTACTAGCTCGAGACCCAATGGCAAAATTAACTACTATTAAGCTGCCTAATGGGCAGTATGCCCAGGATAAAAGGGAGTGTCTAAAGCACCTGATGGAAGTAAACTTCCCGGACTTTAGAGAAGGTTTGGAGAACAGCCAGGGCATAGGACCAGGTAGGAACCGAGGATATCGGGAACACTGGAAACTAGCAGCCAGGGTTGTAACTCCGGAAGGGATTGATTGGGCAATAAGCACTTTCAAACCATTTAAGGCTGCAGGGGGGGACGGTATATATCCGGTTCTTTTGCAAAAGGGATTGGATTGTATTAGAGTACCACTGTGTAAAATTATGAGAGCATGTATAGCTCTTGGTTATACACCGGAGTCTTGGAAAAAGACGAGGGTTGTGTTTATTCCGAAGTCCGGTCGGTCAGGCTATACTGCGGCGATGGACTTCAGGCCAATCAGCCTAACTTCCTTTATATTAAAGACGTTAGAGAAACTGGTGGATAAGTTTATTAGACAGGAATGTCTTAGAGATTTTCCCCTACATCAGGGACAGCATGCATATAGAGCAGGCTTCTCAGTAGAAACAGCCCTCCATTAGCAACAAATTAGCAGTGGTGGTTATGCGGTTGGTACTTTTCTTGATATCGAAAATGCCTTCCCTAACACCTCTAGCAAAACTATCTGCAGGGCAGCCAGGATGCGAGGCGTGCCCGAGCCGCTAGTTAAGTGGATCGACAGCATGCTTCGCGAAAGGGCCCTGGAGGCAGAGTATGGTGAGGCCAAGGTAACCGGCCTTGTCTCAAAAGGGTGCCCACAGGGAGGAGTTCTCTCTCCTTTATTGTGGTGCTTAGTGGCAGATGAGTTAATTAGAAACCTCAATAGCCATGGATATTATACGCAAAGTTATGCGGATGATTTCCTTATAATTATAAGAGGGCACTCAATTGAGACCCTCTTAGAACTTACGGAACGTGCGCTTAAGATTGTCAAGGATTGGTGCAATCTGACTGGACTTTCTGTAAACCCAGAGAAAACGAATATAGTAGTTTTCACAAAAAAATATAAGGTACCGAGTTTGAAGAAACTGATATTTTATGGAAAAGAGATTTCCTTTTCTGAATCGGCTAAGTATCTGGGAGTAATCCTGGATAAAAAGCTGGTTTGGAGGGAACATTTCGAATATCAGTATAGCAGGTTTTGTACCGCGTTTTGGGCGTGTAGAAGGGCGATAGGGTCATCATGGGGACTAAGGCCTAATATGGTCAACTGGCTCTATCAGATGATCTTAAAACCAAGGTTTCTTCACGCGGCGGTTGTCTGGTGGTCTAGGACTCAACTGATAACCTCTGCATATTGCCGCGGTGAAAAAGGCGGCTCTCACTATGAGCAGGTTAACTGCGCAGGGAAGGTGAAAGGTTGGTGGTATACACACCAAGCTTCCACGCTCAATTCTATCAATACCAGAATTAGGTATGGTGCAAGATAGAATGATCAAGAGGGTGAAATTTAAACCCCGCTTTAAGATCATTACACCTTCCAGAATGGACTGGAAGAAAGGTTTTCCACTTGGGGACGAAGTCTGGTATACAGACGGCTCTAAGATGGACTGCGGTGCAGGCTTCGGAATTTATCGGAAAACTGGCTGCATTAAAGTGGCTGAGTCATTAGGACAGCATGCCACGGTCTGGCAGGCAGTTGTCTGTGCGCCCAAATAATGTTAACTTGCGCCCAAATATCCATTCGAAATGGAACAAAGGGCAAGAGGATTAGTATTTGTGTGGATAGTCAAGCGGCCTTAGGGGCTCTGAAAAATCCCACAATAGAATCAAAACTCGTCTGGGAATGCCGGAGCGTACTAGATGAGTTGGGTTCAGCAAATAGACTTTCATTGATTTGGGTACCGGGTCACTCGGGAATCAAGGGTAATGAAAGAGTAGACGTCTTGGCGAAAACCGGTTCCGAGACGAAATTTATAGGTCCTGAACCAGCAGTGGCAATAATGCCATGCTTGGTTAAGGGAGCCATAGAAAGATGGGGTGAAAAGGAACATGAGAAGTATTGGGCGAACGTTGGGGTGGGAAGGCAAGCGAAAACTCTGTTGGGGTTAGCACTCAACAAGAGGCGAGCGAGCGATCTCCTAAAACTCGATAAGCTCAGAGTTAGAACCGTAGTTCGTCTACTTACGGGTCATGGACTATTGAACTACCATCAGCATAAAATAGGCAGACAAGTTTCACCTATGAGCAGACTGTGTGGGGAAAGTAACGAAACTTCGACTCACATATTATCTGAATGCCCAGCGTTAGCTAGGATCAGGCTATCTAGCTGGGGTCAAGCAATTATTGACCCTAAGCAGGTGATCAACCTATCGATAGGTACTGGACTTCTGGAGAAGAACAGGACTCTAAGAAGTTGCTATAAACGAGCGAACTGGAGTCTGGTACAATGGGTTCTATAACCTAGGTGCTTACTTTCCCCTCTTGAGGAAAATCCAGCTCGATCTCGGTGTCAGATTAGATTAGATCTCCCAGCTTATGCGCACTTCGCGTGGGGGTAAGTCAGTAAACCCTGAATTTGACGTCATTTTTAGTCCTCAATGCAACGTATAGCCGGCACCCGCAAGCTCGCCATTAAAATATATTTTGTCCAGTCCTTTAAATATCCCTCTCAAATCTGGCCTCCCGTCCGTAGTGCGCTTGCGCTCAGAAAAAATCAACCCTTCTTCTAAGGGTTGTTATTGCGATCGTGTTGCTCTTCTGCTCATTTCGAGAGTTTATCTAAATGGAAGTAAAATGTAGCGTTAAAACAAAAAGGTCTTATACGGGTGAGATAGCGAGAAACTGGAAGGTCAAGAAAAACAAAATTTTACTGGCAGAGTGTCAAAAATGTCGTTTCCGGAGCGCCCCAACTTTAAAGTTGGGTCATTTTTGAGGCATTTCCGTTAAAAATTCGCGACACTCGAGAATCAGGGAAAAATATTGTAACTATGATTCCGAGGAATAATATAAAACTTACTAAACAAAAATCGGCTTATTTTTGTGGTATTTACGACCAAATTTTTCGATCCTGTCATTTTCGAGCGCGCGAGATACTTGCCGGCGGCTGCCGCCGAGCATGGCAGCCGCCGCCGACCACGTGAGAACCCCCGTCGGATAACCACTGTAGACTGAATAGACTAAATCAAACTAAGCTCCCCGGAGTTCAATTGTTCTCAGAAATTTATTTTTCCAATTTTATTTATTTTCAATATATAATATTGAAAAATATATAGAATATATATATATATATAAATATGTAATAAAATTGTCAGTGGAGTTCTATTGATTATGAATTTTATAAGTCTCTTCGCAATGATTCAATTATTGTTTTAGCGAGGAATAGCATTTTACCAGGAATTCAATTGTTTTCATAAACTGGCAATTCACTTTTAACATCCGTAGTAATAGTATAATTTTATGTCGCATGTCACATGAGAATAAGACTTAAATTTTATTCCGTTAAGCATGTTAAATTTTAGGGTCGACTATTGTTCATGGAGGAGAGTGATTGCCAATGAGACGATAATGGAAGATATGTTTGTTGCAGTATTTTGACTTACTAATTAAAAAAAAATAATATAAATTACATTTAATTACAATTAACTACTTATTTGTTGTTTTGTCTCTAATAAGTTTTCAAGGCAAAATTAAATAATATTATTTTCATACCATGAACATTAAAAAAAAATTCAATAGTTCAGTAGAATCCTACACAAAATCACTATTTTCTAAATTTATTCAAAAAGGGGTCGGAGAATTTTGTCAAGGGGCTGAAACAACTTTCAATTTCAAGAATCCATAAGAAAATTCTGAATGTTATTCCTCAGCGTTGAAGAGATTTTATTTAGTTCAAACCTTTCTTTGCAATGATTGGACTTTACAAATTTAAAAATTGAATTTTGAGATGATTCAATTATTGAGGAGTGAATAAATAATGAATTTTTACTAGAGGTTCATTATTTGCAGGTTTTTCTTTTGTGGATTTATTTGCAAAATTCAATTGTTTTATTACACATTTTGATCAAATTTCCGAAAAATGTAATTGTTCTTGAAAGTTTTGTTAAAAATTGTCAAAGAAATTTAATTTTTTCAATAACCTCTGCTACAATTTGATTATTAGAATTCAAATATTATTCAATAAATTTAATTTCGTATTTAAATAGTGAAATTCTCGTAGAATTATCTCATGAAAATTAACTTAAAAATGGATTTCGGTTGGAATTTTAGATTATAATTGAACACTGAAGGTACTAGAGCGTAAGGCTTTAGAAGCGATTAAATTTTGGGAGATTTCAGGATAGAATCTTTAAAAATTTGAAATTTTTTTTACTAAGTAATAATCCTGTGGAATTGATCCTTGAGAAGTTTTGATTGCGAATTTTAATTGAAGTTTTATTTTCTGATACATATTTAATTGAAGAATTGATTTAAAGATTGTCAAGGAACTTTTCGGGGGTTATAAGAAATGGTCGATTTCGAGAAGAATCCTAATTGAGGATTTTGAAAGTAATAATTGAATTGGCAATGGTTTTATCACTCTATCTTTAATTATTATAAAACGGGAAGTAGTCGATCGCTCCGAGTCTTTAAGTCGGAGCTGTCGGTATCTTCAATTTTATCTAAAAAAGTAAATATATATTCCAGGTAAACTTAGACGTTTTCTTTTTCTTGGCCTCCCAGTCTTAATTCTACACATTGATTGTTTAATTGGATTTTAACTTTATAATATTCGGAATAGATATTTGATACATATATATATATATATATATATATATATATTTAACAAATTTTTTTTTGACAAAGGATTTTCATTGATTGTTGAATATTCTATGACTCAAGTAATTAATTAAATACATTAAAAGTAAGTCACGTTAAAAGTTAACGAAGTAAACATATTAGACAACACTTTATGAAAAAAAAAACTATAAAAAAAATAAATTGTATTAAAATTACTATTTTTTTTAAAATGCATTTTGATGACTCGAACTTATGTTTATATAGTTTTGGTAATATGGTAGTTATTTAATAATAATGATATCTGTCAAAATTTTTGAAAAATGAGTATTATATCGTTAACAATTATGTTACTTAGAGTTTTACATGTTAAAAAGAAAGATTATTAAAAGACAAATTTCGTAAGCTTACCTTACGATTATGAGATCTAGTCCAAATTAAATCCTTCACATGTTTTCCAATTGTGGCACGAACGAAAGAAAAGAAAAACGATTGTTAAAAGAAAAGGAACACAAGAAAATAATAATGATTGTTGTTCGCGAGTATTATTGCTCCTTCACTCCCGAAAACCAAGGCGCACTATAAGAAAAACAAGCGTAGAACCAAAAACGAATTGTTATGTCTAAAAAAAAATCTAATCTCGCTACAACGAAGTGTTTGTACGACTGGGCACGTTTAGGGCGATAGCCGGCGTACTCACCGCAACAGTCAATCCCCCCCTTGGAACAGCCAAAGACCCATTAAACTTAATGTGTAGTTAACGAGCGGCGGCGACGTGACTTTTCAATAGGAAATTAAGTTTCTCTCAAAATCAGACTTTCTAAAATTAATTTCTCATATAAAAAAAAAACATATATATTTTTATTTCTAGCGTTACAATTGCAACTACATTTTCTTTATATTTAATAAAGTTAAAACTTAATTATTCCTTAAAATTCTTATCATAACGCTTCTCATATTCAAGTATTTTGAAAGCTTTTATTGGAATTCCTTATAAATCTAATTTTGTAATTGAAAATTAACTTTTTAACATGAAAAAACAAAATTATTTATTTGAAAGAAATAAAAAAAAGGAGGAAAATTTTCCTAGTTTTGAACTTTAAATTTGAATGAGTATTATTATTTATTGCTTGCAAAGGAATTGAAATTTCAAAAAGTTTTGAATTAAAAAAAAACATTTCGAAATCTAATTAATTCTAAACATTATATATGCAATTTTCTGAATGTTAAATATTCTCTGAAATTCTAAATGAAATTCTTTTAGAAATTAATTCCTATCTAAAGGTTCTACTAAAATTAAACTAATTTGACATGACATGACTTCTGACATGACAAATAGTTTGGAATCAGAAAATCGTAATTTCACTTGAGTACAGAAATTTATTAGTATATAAGTAATGATAATTATAATAATGTATTTATTATCTAACATTCCTGAATATTCAAATAAATAATTTTGTTCAATTTTGCTTCTTCGTGTGAGTGCAGTTCTTTTAAATTTTTTTTTACTTGCTACAAATAACTAAATACATTATGATAATTTAATAAAGATATAAAACAATTAAAAAAAGAAAAAGAAAAAAAAATTATTTTTCCTTTTATATATATAAATGAACAAAACCATTTTCCAATTATTTCTTTATGAAAACTAGAAATATGTTTTCTTAAAAGAAAAACGTGTGGCAGCATTGCCTGTAACATTCGGAAAAGCATAGCTGCCAGTTAGTCACGTTGAATCGGTGTCAGGTTACCTACGGCGCCATTCAATACTCCGACCGCCATAAAACTATTTGAACCCTAACGCACTTATAATGACCAGCGGGTGATGAAAAATCTTCAGCAAAAGCATAATAGTTCTTTTTCCTTCTCTCCGACTCCAATTTTCTCTGGCCCTCCGTTGTTGGAATTCTACGTCTCAGAATGACTCAAAATTCTAAGAAGAAAATATTTCTTTAAATTAAACAACTGCAAAATATTTTGTGTTCTTTCTTGACTCTGGGGAATGTTTTGTTTCAGAAGTGATTGGATATAATAAATAATTGAATGCTTTTATTTTATTTGCCTACCAATCTCATTAATATTTTAACTAGCACAAATAACGCTCGTTAAAGCGCGCGTGAAGTTTTTGTTTCATTTTAACATATATATAACAATAATGTAGTTTTTACATTATATATCACATGAAAATTAATAAATGCGTGAATGCCAATAAGACGATAAAAAAAATAGGTTCATTGCTTTATTTTGACTTATTAATTAAAAAAAAAATAAATTACATTTATTTACAGTTAATTATTTATTTGATATTTTGTTTCTAATAGTCTTCTAGTCAAAATTAATTAATATTGCTTTCATGCCATCAACATTCAAGAAAACTCAATTATTCAGAAGAATTCTACACAAAAATCACTATCTTTCTAAATTTTTTTTTAACAATAATCAGACTTTACAGATTTAAAATTGATTTTCTAAAATAATTTAATTTTTTTTTTAAATAAAAAAATTATAAAAAAAAGAATTATTTTATTAACTATTTTGCAATAATTTTTTATAAAAAAAAAATTATTGGTGTTTTCAAATAATTTTAGAATTAAAGAGACTCGTAAATAAAATTAATGGAACATTTTTGGAGTATCTAATCATTTTAGAGTTAATCGGAATATTCTTTGGAGTCGGGGAAGAGGTCAAAATATTGTTAAGTAATAAGGTTTTTCATATTAAAAAAAAAAGAATATATTTCACAAATTTTACATTTGTTAATTTTTTAAAATGTTTGTTACAAAATGCTAATTTTAAGAAACAAAGGCAATTAATGAGTAATATAATAATATTAATAATTTTTAGACTAATGAAAATATTTCTGGAATTATTTCAAAATTAAAAAAGAGAATAATAGTAAAAAAAAAGAGGAGAAAAGAAGAAGGGGAGCTGAGCCTAGAACCAATCTTCCTCGCTTTCCTCAGCACCAGCATCCGTGCACTTTTCCTCTGAAAAATTGTCGCGGCGACCTCCGAATAAGTGACCCTCCGAGCCAATAGTTTCCCACGATTCGGGCAGTTCCACATTGTAAGTCTGAAAAACGGAATAGAAATTTTTTTTATTGAAGGAAAATATAGTATATATATGTATCTTAAGCGGTAACACTCACCAATTGCCACGAATCCGCCTGCTTGTGTACACCCGCCGCGGTTTTAAAGAAAACCTGCACGAATGTGAGGCGAAAAGAATCGCGCTTGGAAAAAAAGCCCACGTGCGGCGGAAATTGGGGAAGCGACTGAAACAAACTAAGAACGAATAGGTTAAAAAAAATATATATATAGAGGGAGATTCATGTGAATATGTTAATGGAATTGAATTACCAAACCTTACCAAGTTTCCGTGTTCGGTACCGCATTTAAACCGGTTCGCAGCATCAACTCCGAGGAAGGATGCTCAACCAATAGGGGATGTCTAAAATGTTTCTGAAAAAGAGAAGAAAGAGTATATACACTACAAATAAAATAAAAGTAATTAAGCCCAAGCTACGCAATAATAGATATAACTATGTCAACTCACCGTGGCCCAGAATCCTCTCACGCGGTACTTTTTTCGGATCGCATCCCAATAATACTCCTGGTGCCAGCAACTCCTTGAGAATGGCCTGGCACTTGTGTTGTCCCGCAAAAGTCGGCTGAAGTGCCAGGTCTCATTCGAGCTTGCTCTGGAGGGGGCGGGTTCCCATAAACCGAACTTGATCATAAATCTAAAAAAAAGGAATATTAAGAATTTTTTTATTAAAACATGTTTATTTAATTTTAATTTTGGCCTGAGTTTCGAAAATTATTTGATATTTTGTATAAAAGTGTTTGTCTATTTTAAATTTATTCTTTTCTATATCTAAATAAAATAAAATTTTTTAGATTTGAACGATTACTTATTTTATTAATTTAATAAACTTGTTTAGAGCACATTTTATATGTTTACTTACACTATTTATAATCATTAACAGTCGAAAATTAATTTTTTTAAATAAATTATTTAACCTTTAAATTACAAATTTTTAAATTGTTCGTATATAAAACTAAAGAAAGAATTAGGCTCAAATATCTATAAAATAATCATTCTCAAGCTTTATTAGAAAGATCTAAAAAAAAATTTTTTTTCTAACATATTCAAAGGTTACCACTTTGCGGAGAAGCACCCATATATATATGCATAATTTTCTCTCAATACATGTTTTGTAATAATTAAAATTAATTCACTGCTCAAGTCATTTATTCTATGTTATAAAATGTCACTACTATTAGAAAATTCTTTTTGACATCATTATTTAAATTTCATCTTTAATTCAAACCTTCCGTGGAAATTGAATATTTTGGTATAAAATAAACCGAAAATTGAAATACTGATAAAAGTCGAATTAAAGTTGTTTAAATATAAACTTAATTGGAAGTTAAAATAGGAATGCAGAACCTACCCTCTGTCCGGTCCACTCTGCAGAAATGCATTTTTCGCAGCAAAATATCTCTTTATTTTCGCCGCATAAGACAGGGGATTCTGTTTTGTTTCGTCTTCGAATAGTTTCGTTAATAAATAACCCCTCGTTATAACAGACTTATTGCCTGGTATCAGCGCACATATCTCCCTGCCTCGCCTCACAATATCTACAGCACTTTCACCCTCGTCGGATGAGGACCCTTCATAGGAGCAAGAAGAAACACAATCTTCCCTGTCATCAAGCTCCGGAATAATTCTTCCACCAATGAAGGCCTTTTTTTTCTTTTGTTTGTTGCAAAAGAACCAATAACTTCAACACACTCAAACTTAACACAACACTCACGGCCTGAGAAATGTTCACTGCACTAGTCGCCGCAAAGACTGAGAGAGCACTGAACCACTGGAGTGAGGTACTGGACCGCTACGCACTAACATTACGTGACTAATCTGACGGTTCCCAATTGCGTTTGTACTACTTGGAGATGCACGAGCCTAACATTAAGGGGTACAAAATGTATGCTATCAATGGTTGCCGAATTTTTTCTAGTTTATGATCAATTTAAAAAAAAAGAAGGAGAAAAGAGAGAGGAATATAGACAGAGAAAATGTTCTTCCCTCAAAATGGGAATTATTGACTGCTATCAATAAAAAAATCAATAAAAACAAAAGAATTTTTGCCCGACGGATGCTTTGTGATTCGAAAGAGGAATAAGCTCCGCCGGTAGTTGTAAGTAAAATAAGTATCGTTTCAATTACATATTCTAACACACACACACTTTCTATTTGTAACACACACTATAACCATTCTGTATTCAAAAGGTATTTTGCTATTCTAAAATAAATCATGTATTCATAAAATCAATTTCTTTACTTACCTAACTAAACCTAAAATTCAAATCATTCTAAAAATAGTGCATTTAACGAATCAGAAGGTAACTTTTAAAAGTGGAATAACGTCCCCACAAAATTAAACAGAATAATAAAACATTCTGGCAGCTTGGTGCCTCCCCAAATCGAGATAAAAGGCCATCTCAAAAGCCTAATTTATAAATTTATTTCTGGTTTGTAACATTAATACAAAACAAAAAATATATAATAATATATAATAATAACAAAAATAATTTTTATTTAAAATGCTTGAAAAAAGAATTAAAATTTGCATGACAGTTTTTATTATTTCAGAAAATAATAAAACTCTGCATACGAATTTTATAAAAAAAAATTGTTTTAAAATTTTTTTTTCATTTTGTCAACATGTAACAAATATTGCGGAGTTTTTAATTTAATTAATTGAATTTTTTTTGCTAAAAAACTTTATTTTTGAAATTTTACTTTTTATTTTTTTTTCCAAAAAGTTGTAAAACTAATTGTGGTCTTTCAAAATACTGTTCAAAATATTGCAAGTCACATAAAAAAAATGCCCTGACTTTAAAAAAATTTTCCATGACATCTCCAGGTTTTCCAGGTGTAATAAACACTCTGCCTAACATAAATTCTATTATTGAACGAAAATAATGAAACTATTCAAGGAAATTCAATCAGTTTCATTACTATTTTAAAAACACAAAAACTTCCGCCTTCCGTCAAATTCAAAAATAAAATTTTGATAAATAATATTACATTTTTAATTTTTCTGTCATTATTTATTCTTATCTAACAACATTATTTTTTTTTTTTTTAAATAATCCAAATTATTCTTATTAATCAAAAAAAAAGTTTTTTTTCTTCCTTTATATTATTAAACTATTCATTATTCCATTCCATTTGCTAAAAATTAGCATTTTATAACAAACATTATAGAAAATTAGTAAAATACTTTTTTTTTCTAATAGGAATAACTTTATTACTTGACAAAATTTTGATTATTTCCTTGACTCTAAAGAATATTCTGAATCACTCTAAAAAACGATTAGATACTAAAAAAAAAAATTTTCTTGTGATTGTAGGGGAGAGTCTCCAGTTGTGAGACACCTCCAGTTGTGAGACAGTCAATTTTTTTTAACATGCAATATTAAAAAGCCGATTGGTTTATATAAAAACATTTCTTTTTATATGAGCCAACTTTTTCGTGTACGCCGAAGCGGATATATTGTTTTTGTTAAATACCAACACTGTGTGTGATAATCGACTAAAAAGCGTTTTTTCAATAAATACAAAGTACTTTTTTTCCAAGTTAATTAATTGGAAAAGGTAAATGTAATGCATTTTCTTTTAGTGTTTTCCTTATATTTTGTGATGCAATATTGCATTGTTCCAATCTACGGTTGAAAATAATTTAATTTTCCTTTTTCAAAATAGCGCCAATTTCTGGGTGTGAGACACAGCATATCACCAGTTGTGAGACGGTGTCAACACCCATCTGGGCAGCATAAAAAATACGACTTTGCAGGCATACTATTTAAATGTTGTTTTGATTTTTTTTCTAGTATTTTTGGGCATGTCAAGTGGAAAAAAGTCAATTGATTCAGAAGAAATCAATTTTAATGCTCTTGTTCAAGCTATTAAATTGTGTTTATTTGATAGTCATATTTTGGCGAATAAATATTATTATTTAGTATATAATAATATATATTATTAATATATTTAATTATTTCTACTAAACATAACGTTTTATGTCAAACTTATTAAATTTTAGCAATTTTTAATGAGTGTCTCACAACTGGAGACATTTTTTTTTTTTGAAAAAAGCGATGTGCTCGGAAAATGTATCGTAAAACTTTTTGAGTTCATCGAAACACTATACTTTCTTTTAATAAAAGTTGCGTATTTCTGTTACCTTTCGAACGGTGTATTTTATTAACAATTTCGTTTACCCGTTTACAATTTACGGGTCAAAAATGAAACCCGTCTCACAACTGGAGACTCTCCCCTACTTATTTACAAATCTCTCTAAATATAAAATTAATTATCTAAAAACATAAATAACCAATTTTCTAAACAAATTTGAACGATTAATATTTTCCCACAGGAATAAATTTTATTAAATGATTTAAAGAGGGAGTTTTTTTTATATTCATAATTCTTCAACTAAATACGAATCTAAAAAAAAACTAAAAATACAGATAATTTCAAAGAAATATTCAATTTAATCCAAAAAAAATCAATTAATCCTACAGAACCATTAGTTACAAGTATGAAAAATACAAACTTATTAAAGAATTGATTTAGAACCATTTTAAAAAATTAATTATTTCTTAAAATTCATACTAGGGTAACTGCACCAATTGCCGAGGGTGCTCCAATTGTCGAGGATAATAATTTTCTTTTTTAGATAAATAGTATAATATATAATATTTAAGAACAAAAAAAATTTATAAATAATCTTTGTATTTTCAACTGTATATTTATATATACAAATTTCGTAGCGATTCTACTAAAATAATTATTTAATTAATATTATAATTCACTGCTGTGAAATTTACACGAATCTCCATTTTCTTAATACTTTAGGTTGATTAAAACAGATTTTTAGAAATGCAAATTAAACGTATTTATAATGACTTTTTGTGTACAAAATTATTATTATAATTTTGTACACGAACTAAATTAATTTTGTATGCATGTTTTTTTGTTAAAAAAAATATTTAATATTTTTTAAAAGCAAATCATCGGTATTTGGTTCCTTTTTTTTGACAGTTCCATTTTTCGAGGTAATGACTCGAAAATTGGTGTAGTCCCTTTTTTGCTGATGCACCATTTATCGATGGTTAAGTGTTTATTTACTAAACGTCAAACATAAATGCCAAACATTTATAGGTACAGAGAAAAAGAAAAAAAATGCTCCAAAAATTTACAACCAACAGAAAATAATCAACCAAAAAAACTAGGAAGACCGAAAAAAATTAATAAAAAAATGCATTATTATTTAAAACTAAAAAATTTTGTACTATAGTTTAATTATAATTAACCATTATATTTACAGTTCGTAATAAAAGTTTATTTTATTCGTTTACAAATTTAATGTGACTTAAATTAATTTATTTTTTCAATTAATGTCTGATTAACAAAATTGATTAAATTTAATTAACTTATATTTATAAAAGTTTAAAAAACAGTTAAATAATTTTCTGTCCTGTATCATCTACTATAAAAATGTTTTATATCGATATTATAAATTATTCAATTATAGTTAAATAAATATATTTGTTTTCTGGTAATGTTCTATAATATTTTTATTGAAAAAATAAATATCTACTCGATTTTCTAATATCTGTACAGGTTAATTGTTAGGTTATATTGGTTTATATGTTTAAAAATGTCATACCCTCGACAATTGGAACAGACACTCGAGAAATTAGCACAAGACCATCGACAAATGGTGCTTTTGCTCGATTGACTTTTAAATATATTTTTTGCTTAACAATTTAGTTTATATTAAAAAAAGAAATATGAATATTAAACATTATTAGATCCTTCGTCCAAATATACAAAAATCAAATTTTAAAGTGCATTTACTTCCGAGAAAAAAAATGTCAAAGTCACATGTTGCCTAAAACCCTTGACAATTGGTACAGTTACCCTATAATGCTTTTAACACTCAATTATTATGTAGAACCTTAAATAAAATTCATTTTTAAAATAAACTGTAATAGATAAATCAATGATACACAAAAAAAATAATTTATGGAATAATAGAAATTTCGTATAATTTAAGCCTAATAAAAGTTTTTTTTGAAAACATTGATTTAATTTTAAAAAAAAAATTTTACCAAATTTTAATTGTTTGTAAAGTATTCAAAATTGAAAACTAATATATTTATATAATTACAATTATTATAAAAAAATTAAATTTTTGTAATTCGATAATTGAATTCAAGAAGAACTTTTTGAAAATTATTCAAATTAATTGATTCATAGATGAAGTTTAATTAAAATATTTTGTTTAAAAAAAAAAAGTTTAAAAACTAAATACTCTGTAATTAAGAAATTTATGAAAATAAAATTCAATTAAATATTATACCAAATATTTTTTTAATAATATCGAAATAATGTTAACATTAAATAAAATACATTAAATTAAATTATAAAAAGTATTCACTCTTAGAAGAAATTATGGTTGAGAAGTTAAAACTTAAAGTGAACAAACAAAGATATAAAACATAACCGTTGAACACATCAAAACACATTAAAAAGTTAAATATTAAAATTATTAAAAACGCTCCTAACCCATAAAACTTAATTTTCAAAACAAACAAATCTAGTCTAAAACTATTAAATTAAATAAATTAAATATAAAAATATATATATATATATATAAATATAATATAATTTCTTATACATAATAGTAAACGCTGACAAAAACAAAAAGCTAAAAAAAATTAAACAGAAAATATGCACAAATATGTACTGAAAGAAGAAAAAAAGGAAGCAAGATAAATGCATGAAGATCGTACGGAACATGCACACCCTAGGCGCTTGAAATTTTTCGGTTCTCGACAAACTGGGATCGCGCCAGAGAAGATAGTTTGTAGGTACCGGAAGAGGTGGAGAAACGCCGGGGAGCGGGCGAAAAGCAT